ACATCTGGTGAAAATTTCATGTCATTAGCACCTCTAGTAATATATTTACTGAGAAAAATGGTGACGTGTTCAATACTTATTTTGCCCGCTGTATGAGATCATGCTTGTGGCACGGCTTAATGCTCACCTTTGGTGATGATCTTCTGTTGGGACCAACCTCACAATCTTCGGTCCAGTTTTACACAAACTGTTTTTTTTTTTCAAGCATGCAGTTTGTTTTGTGCTCCTCTCTGCGTTTGCTAACTTCCATTTGATTAAAATCTCCAGCTGACAATGGGGACAAAGAGCTGCAGAGGCGGCACCTTGAAAGCTCCAACAGGCGGCGGCGCTGCCTCGGGTTCTCAATGCAAGTCACCTACCCCCAAGGCACGAGGCATTCTGGGCCACTGACCCTCAAATAAGAGACTCAGTCCAATCCATTTTGCCCCATGCCTGCCAGCGCAGTGTGTGCTTTAACTTTCCTTTTGGGTTCTCTTCCCAGTATCTCCATAAAAACTTGGGGTTGTTATAAAGCATCAAGCAGCACACGCACACCTYCCAAACACACACTGAACTTTGATGGAGTTTCTTACAGAACAGTTGCTGGTTTAGCAGCTAAAGAGTTTCAAATAAGGAGCTTTTGGAAAAGGTATCACTCAATAATTGTCTTTCTTTTTTTTTGATGTTTGCACGGTTCTTAGACCGAGTTCAGACCACAGGTTAGAAATTAATCTTGGCTCGTTTCGTCTGCTTTATTTTCAGAAAGCAGGCATGTCACACCCGGTGGGGAGTTTATCAGAGGAGTACGGGTCCAGAATGGGGAAGGCCGAGGACTCCCTCATTCTCCTGGAGCGAAACAGAAGCTCCGAGGACCCCTGGGAGATGGTCGAGACCAAACCGAACATCGAAGCCCTGGAACGAGGCGTCCCGGGCCTCTACTTCTCCTGCTACGACATGCTTCTCACCGAAGATGCCAGGTGGTTGTTGAAAGTTTCCGATTCCCCCGCAACGCTGGCTATACCCACGAATCCCATGGAGAACCTCGAGGCACCGGAGCAGTGCCCCATCATTGACAGCCAGGAGCAGGGCCTGTCTCCTGGGTTGGTGGGGCAGGAGGAGGAGCGGTCTCTGGAGCAGGTTCAGAGCATGGTTGTCGGAGAAGTGCTGAAGGACATCGAAACTGCCTGCAAGCTGCTCAACATCACCCCAGGTAGGCTGCCCCCCACCCACCACCACACCTGTCATTTTCAAGAAGCAGCGCAGAGCATTAATGCTTGTAACTGACAAAAAAAGTGTTGCTCACGTTTTGCAAATAATAAAATATTGATTCAGAGATTTATGAGCTTCTGAACCTTGCTACCAAAATCAACAAATTCTGAGGGCAAACTGACAGATGTTCTAAATCGTCTTATTTCTGACGCAGACGTGTTTGCCCGCTTCCAGGATCTGTTTAATCCTGACCTTTTGAAAAAGTTTTTTCTGAACGGTGACAGTGATGATTCTCCACTGCCTGCAGACGTGTACACAGACTTAAGGGCGAGGTCCCTGCTGCTTGAAAGCAAACAAAGGAAGTGTTTTTATACATATTCTACAGCCTCTAGCTGCTATAAACCTCCCTGATACCCAGTCATCTGTTCTCCTGATTAGAACCGGAGAGGCATAATTACACGTGCTTTCACAAGATTTATTATGTGTAACAACATAAAGCTGGAAAATGACCCAGGATGACACTTTGCCAAAAAGAAAAATGTTTTAAACTAAAGAAATCGCATTTTCAGGAAAAAAAAAAAGTTGCGTCAATGCTGTCTGCTGCAAACTTTGTCAAATTTGTTGAAGTTTAAACTATAGGCTGTTGAAGTCAATGAATCARAACAAAAGRCAAAATTAGCAAAGCRGTAGCTAAAAYTGGCAAATTAGTATTGTAATGCCCAAAGCAAGAAAACACTAGCCGAAAAATAAAACCATCAAATCAGTWGCTAAAAGCAAARATGAGCAAAACAGTGRCTAAAACCTTCAAAACACCAGCTAAACACCAAAAGCAGCAAAACAGTAGTGAAACGCTAAAACCATCAAAACATTAATTAAACACTAAAAGCGGCAAAGCAGTAGCTAAAGGGTAATGAAGCAAGATAGATTTCAAACCCTTCAAATATTTTCAAGGATTTGAAAAGTTTTTTATTCCATAGAGGAAAAAATGTGAATAAAGTTAATATTTAAATTGTACAAAAGTTTTATAGACAAAAGTAATAGCTGTAATATTTTAAATGAGCTGAATATTTTTGATATTAGCTAAAATCAAACTGGTTTGTTGCTAAGTACCAAGTACTCTGTTGTGAAAATGCTGAAGTACCAAGTACTCTGTGRTGTAAATGCTGAAGTACCAARTACTTTGTTGTGTAAATGCTGAAGTACCAAGTACTCTGTTGTGTAAATGCTGAAGTACTCTGTTGTACTAGCACTTTGTGGTTTTTTTGTTCCTCCCCACAGATGCTACAGAGTGGAACACAGCAAACGTCCAGAAGTGGCTGCTGTGGACTGAACACCTGTACAGGTTGCCTCACGCAGGGAAAGCCTTTCAGGAGCTGACAGGAAAGGATCTGTGCGCCATGAGCGAGGAGGAGTTTCGCCAGCGCTCTCCGCTGTGCGGCGACACGCTGCACGCACACCTGGACATATGGAAGTCAGGTAACTAAGGACTATTTATTTAAGATGATGATGATAACCGGCTACACCTCCTGTTATCTTTGGCTGATGTGATCGTTTGAGAGGCAGCTTACAGTCTTTGTTCAGATAAAGTACTGTGTGAACATCTTCAGTCATTTAGACTTACTTGGAACATTTTAAAGTGCAAAACTAAAGAATTTACAAAAARGAAAAAAATTTCTTGGAGAGCCTTTGGTTACTTTCCTTACCAGTTAAGTGCAGAAACTGATTTATGGTATGAATGTGATCTATAGCACTGACTCGTCTTTGTAGAGAGATTTAGTCGAGTGCTGTGTGTGAATGGGTAAATGACGGCACAGGTTATTGTAAAATGATTTGAGTATCCTGGTTGAACAGAAAGGCACTGCATACAGTCCAAATGACAAACCAGTCATAACAGAAAACTTAACCAAGTTTAACTGGAGAAACTGTGAATTGTGAGTGTTGAACTGAAAAAAAAAATTCATCTCTCAGGTCCTGAGTCAGGTGTGATGACATGACTTTCACATACTGTTCATTTGCAGTAGATTGTTGTTTTAGGCCAGGGCTCTGCAACCTGCGGCTCTGGGGCCACATGTGGCTCTTTGGTCCCTCTGCAGTGGCTCTTTGAATATGTAGCCAAACATAACAGAATACATTTTTTGTTGTTGTTGTTGTTTTTAAACTCACAACAGAAATCAATTTGTATGCAAATATGTGATCAACATGTTAGCTCATGCTAGCCTGTTGGTTTTTTGTATAACTAATAGCTAGCCTGTTGTTTACTTAAATATTAATGAAATTTGGTGTAAACTACATACGGTATTTTTCTTGTTTACATGAATATGGTATTTCTATTCATCCTGATATGCATAATAATAAATAATATAATAATAACAACAATATTTTTTTAGTTTTGTAATGTCATTTCCACTGACCGTAAAGGTTCCCGGAAGGACCTTGAAAAGGCCCATGGACCACCAGTTGATAATCACAGTTGTAGCTTGTTTTGCGGCTCCTGACACATTTTATTAGTGAGACAAGCAGCACAATTGGCTCTTTTGATTGTAAAGGTTGCAGACCCCTGTTTTAGGCCGTTCTCTACTTTGCTGTTGAGACCAGGTACAAAAACTGGACACAAAATGAGTAAAAAGTGGCCAAAAACCTTTAAAATACCTCCAGGATGTTCTAAGAACTGCTAATCAGGGCCACTATAAAAACATTTGGCTGCTTGGAATCACACTAAACAGACTTTAGTGGTGGTTTAAAACTTTTCAGTATTGTAATGTTGGGTTTGAATAAATTAATTGAAAGGAAAAATAAAGCTTTTTCTTGTGMTTGATGGTCTGTCACTCTTTTATCTCCAGCTGCCTGGATGAAAGAGAGGTGCTCCGTYGTAGAGACCAAAGCTACAGGTAGGATTGATTTCCTTATTTTACTTTAAAGACATTAACCAGCCTTAATGAAAGTCACACAAAGCTAGGGAAATAAATCTTAACACTGTTCACATTCTAAGCTATCTGCCTTTCTTTATTTAGCTCAATAAAATCTATGGAGATGTAGTCAAAAATGCATGTTTTATATAATCAGTTTTATAACGTTTATGTGTCACAACATAGTGGTATAAGAAAAAAATGTGTTTTGTTGTGTACAGTAGGCCACGAGGAGCTGTGGTCCGAGGCGGATTCGTCTTGTTCGGGTCAACCTATTCATCTGTGGCAGTTCCTCCGAGAGCTCCTGCTCAAACCTCACAGCTACGGACGCTGCATCCGCTGGCTCAACAAAGAAAAAGGTACGAGTCGATGCTTTCGGGTTTTTTCACTCGCAGGCTTCACAGGCAGACAGAATCACACAATAAGGTGATTTTACAGTTATTTTACTGCACAGGTTGGGAGAAAAGCGGCAACGTGGTCACTAAAGTTATATGTTCACCATGTTTTGGTGCCTGAACAGGCCTCGTACTGTTTACGCTATAATAAATAATACAAAAGCACGTATTTTTCCAGTATAATTAGAAAAAAATTAACCTGGTAAAAAGATAGCAATGTCATTTTACAGAGATGTTTATCCCTCCACCATCATTCCTACATTCACACAAAGTCTGAAGACATGATAGTTGCAGGTCGTCATATTGTGAGGTGATTTTTTTTTATGATGATAATAAACTTAAATGCTTTTACTGCCTTTGCTTCCTCTTTAAAACTGCATCACATCTGCTGTCAAACCCCATTCATTCATAGTTCCTAACACACTGCAGCCGATGTTTGAGCTTTCATACAATAAAACAAATAGCAATTATAAAATCATTTACCTGTGAGCGATTTTTCTTCTAATAAAACTTGTAAATATGAACCTAATCTCCACATATATATATATAACTAACTTTTGTCAGATTTTGATTCAAAAAACCCTGACTTGCGTTTCCCTGCAGGTATTTTTAAAATCGAAGACTCGGCCCACGTGGCGAGGCTGTGGGGCCTCCGAAAGAACCGACCCGCCATGAACTACGACAAGCTGAGCCGCTCCATCCGTCAGTACTACAAAAAGGGCATCATCCGCAAGCCCGACGTGTCCCAGAGACTGGTGTACCAGTTCGTCCACCCGGTGTGAGACTTCAGCGCACCGGGAGGAGGAAGGACRCCGGAAACAGCCAAACCAGACATTTGCACTTCTTGAACCCCTAAAACGTGGCCTGAAACGTGTGACCACCCTCGGGGTCACTGCCAGCTCTGACGTCACATCTGGCAGCAGCTGGAAGACAAAACTAAGTGACCATGGAGGCTTTTTTTTTTCCTTTTTTTTTCCTGCTGCAGAATCAAGCAAACACAGATTAAAATAAACGAACTGCCTTATCGTTTGCATGATCTGCCTGCTTATGTTTCCATCGTGTGATTCATGCCACAAAACACTAACACCACCCGCCCCCAAACCAGCTGCAAACAAGTGCCCCTCGTCTACACTTGTCTTTTTTCGTTTCCGTCATTTTCACTTCTACCAGATATTGTTGTGCTTCTGAGCCTGTGAGGCTGTGGCGTCGCACCTGAGAGGGATGACTCAGCAGTTTGATGGATTCGGAGCCAACAGTGAGTTCCTCGGCCTCTTCTGCGGCCCGGCTGATAAGGCCACTCTTGTGTCGTTTTGGTCTTCTTGGAGAGAAGTGATGTTTGCTTCTTAAAGTGCTGCTGTGGAGATCAATATGTCACTCTGTCAGCTCTGGTTGAGCTGTAAATAAAATCTTAAATTGGGGAACAAAAGGACTCTAACCCGAAAGAATAGGAAAACATGTTTTTTTTTTGTTGTTGTTGTTGTCTTTTGTCTGTGGCAGCCATTTTGACCTTGAATTATAAATGTACACCCAAATACTGGTTTTGAAATGTTCCAATAAAACCTGTCATTCACGAAATACTTTGCTGATAATGATAAAGATTTAGCAACAGATCTTTTACCACAGTTAGTCCACAGAATGAGGTGGGGATGACTCTCAGCTGCTGCACCAGATTTTTAGCTGAATATCCAGAAACTGACTGAGTTACAGCCACTTGTGTGTTCGCTAACATCACTTAGCTGCGGCGGCCATCTTGATCCAATCAACTAAAGAGCTAATGATCGCTGTACGTCTCAGTAAAATTTTCTTTTTTTTCATTCAGATCCACTAAACATGTTCTTGACTTCTTTTTATTTAGTTTTGATTGCAGATTGCTTGATTTTTCAAATTATACCCTGAATAATAAAGTCTAAATATTTCAGTTTTTGACTCCATCTGTGCCACTATATTCAACCTTAAATTCACTATCAGTGCAGAACATGTTGGACGTTATCAAGCGGAGAAACAAGACAGAACATTTAATTTTCCTGAACAGAATCTTAGTCAGTAAATTTGTGTATATTGTTTATATTTGTATATAGTATTAATTGTTTTGTGTGTTTCATACTATTTGTGTTTTACTACACTGGCTTCCTGTTCTGTCTGCATATTCACCCGGCCTGGGGAGAACACTTTCCCCAAGCCTCAGAAAAGGAACAATAAAACTATTTTTGACCTGTACTTGAGTGATATTTCTTTTTTTTTTCTTGTGTATAACCGTATGACTCATGCTTTCAGTCACATTCTCTACCGCAGCTTTCATTTTTTTTCTCATCCAACAGGTTTTAATAATGTGTCGTAATTAACTGTTTTCATAGAGATGAGTCAGAGAGTAAACATTAGCCAGGACAGGGAGGACTTCAGCAAAATGTAACAGGTTATTCCCAGAAAACCTTGCCCCAACATGTTCTGGTCAGGTTTTGGAGATCACCTTACCAAAAAAAAAAAAAAAAAAAAAAAAAAAACATGAACCCCTGCAAGGATTTAAGATCACAGCCAATTTTACATCTGCATTACGTGTCTTGTTTGTGTTCCCATTACAACAATTCGTTTTAAAAAAAGATGCAAAGCATTGTGTTGTGCTCATTGTGTGCATTAAACCATCATTAAAGATGTCAAACAAGATATATTTTTTTACCAATTCGGTGGAAATTTTTCTTCCTGAACTCTTCTGTAACCTCTTAAAGGAAGTACTTAACTGATATAAGGGTTACGACTTGTCACTTGAGCAAAAGACAAATAAACAGATGTCAACCACCAGGTTTGCTTAAAGAAAATACAAAATAAATTTNTGTCTTTTTTCGTTTCCGTCATTTTCACTTCTACCAGATATTGTTGTGCTTCTGAGCCTGTGAGGCTGTGGCGTCGCACCTGAGAGGGATGACTCAGCAGTTTGATGGATTCGGAGCCAACAGTGAGTTCCTCGGCCTCTTCTGCGGCCCGGCTGATAAGGCCACTCTTGTGTCGTTTTGGTCTTCTTGGAGAGAAGTGATGTTTGCTTCTTAAAGTGCTGCTGTGGAGATCAATATGTCACTCTGTCAGCTCTGGTTGAGCTGTAAATAAAATCTTAAATTGGGGAACAAAAGGACTCTAACCCGAAAGAATAGGAAAACATGTTTTTTTKTTGTTGTTGTTGTTGTCTTTTGTCTGTGGCAGCCATTTTGACCTTGAATTATAAATGTACACCCAAATACTGGTTTTGAAATGTTCCAATAAAACCTGTCATTCACGAAATACTTTGCTGATAATGACAAAGATTTAGCAACAGATCTTTTACCACAGTTAGTCCACAGAATGAGGTGGGGATGACTCTCAGCTGCTGCACCAGATTTTTAGCTGAATATCCAGAAACTGACTGAGTTACAGCCACTTGTGTGTTCGCTAACATCACTTAGCTGCGGCGGCCATCTTGATCCAATCAACTAAAGAGCTAATGATCGCTGTACGTCTCAGTAAAATTTTCTTTTTTTTCATTCAGATCCACTAAACATGTTCTTGACTTCTTTTTATTTAGTTTTGATTGCAGATTGCTTGATTTTTCAAATTTATAGCCTGAATAATAAAGTCTAAATATTTCAGTTTTTGACTCCATCTGTGCCACTATATTCAACCTTAAATTCACTATCAGTGCAGAACATGTTGGACGTTATCAAGCGGAGAAACAAGACAGAACATTTAATTTTCCTGAACAGAATCTTAGTCAGTAAATTTGTGTATATTGTTTATATTTGTATATAGTATTAATTGTTTTGTGTGTTTCATACTATTTGTGTTTTACTACACTGGCTTCCTGTTCTGTCTGCATATTCACCCGGCCTGGGGAGAACACTTTCCCCAAGCCTCAGAAAAGGAACAATAAAACTATTTTTGACCTGTACTTGAGTGATATTTCTTTTTTTTTTCTTGTGTATAACCGTATGACTCATGCTTTCAGTCACATTCTCTACCACAGCTTTCATTTTTTTTCTCATCCAACAGGTTTTAATAATGTGTCGTAATTAACTGTTTTCATAGAGATGAGTCAGAGAGTAAACATTAGCCAGGACAGGGAGGACTTCAGCAAAATGTAACAGGTTATTCCCAGAAAACCTTGCCCCAACATGTTCTGGTCAGGTTTTGGAGATCACCTTACCAAAAAAAAAAAAAAAAAAAAAAAAAAAACATGAACCCCTGCAAGGATTTAAGATCACAGCCAATTTTACATCTGCATTACGTGTCTTGTTTGTGTTCCCATTACAACAATTCGTTTTAAAAAAAGATGCAAAGCATTGTGTTGTGCTCATTGTGTGCATTAAACCATCATTAAAGATGTCAAACAAGATATATTTTTTTACCAATTCGGTGGAAATTTTTCTTCCTGAACTCTTCTGTAACCTCTTAAAGGAAGTACTTAACTGATATAAGGGTTACGACTGTCACTTGAGCAAAAGACAAATAAACAGATGTCAACCACCAGGTTTGCTTAAAGAAAATACAAAATAAATTTTATTTTCACAGTTGGGTTTCCCTGTGTGTCATGTGACATATAACTAACACCTAAAACAGTCACCAAAATAAAGCTATATAAAATAGATGTATTTTTACAGTTCGTTGGTTTGGATGAACCTCTGAACCTTGTTGCTYTGGAGGTGAGGTTGTTTTACTGACAGCAGGTGTGCTGGTTGAGATAAATGTCGGTTCTTTGGGCTGGAGGGTGATTTGAAGCATGACCTGTGCTTGTACAGTTGTCTCATGCATGTCTGTGTTGTACCTCAGGCCTCTTCCAGCTGGAGACAGAACAAGAAGTGAGTGAGGTGATGCCAGTCAGGAGAKCTGGTCGCTGCTGACCTCTAGTGGCAGCTTCTGTTGAGATTTCTACAGRTTGGATGTTTTATTAATCCTAAAGCCATCAACMAGGAAAGATTAATCAGTATTCATTCAGCTTCATTTACTGTTAGACAAACGCAGAGATGAGTAGTGAGCAGTTTATGGATGATTTTTAAGGTTAAATTCTAGTATTATAATGAATAAATACAGTACTTAACTTTTTGGGAAAAAAATGTACTTTTTTAGTAGTTTTACTACACCAAGCTTTTTACTTTACTTGAATACCTATCGCAACTCTTGAAGAAAGTTTCTGAATACTCTCTCCAGCGTGAGTAAATTCACCGAATGAAGAACAAACATGTTTGAACCAGAAATGCATCAGAGTGAAACCTCTTCTTTGTTCACAATCTTTGTTGTTCAAATGATGTTTTCTATCTGCTGAGACATTTGGAGGTCAAGTGTATAAATGTTAAACAGTACTTTACCTTGTTCTGTAACACACACACACACACACA